CATCCACTTTAAAGGTTAATCCTGCCATCGTGTAACCAGATAATTAATTTGAATTCATTTCCGAGCACTAATTCTCAGGGAAGCCAAGGTGTGATGGGTGGCAATACCCTCTTATGGATGTCATCGTATGCCTGCCTGGGATAAAATTTGGAAGAAACAAACATTAACGCTTCGAGAACAAAAATTCCTTAGGGCCATTGAGAGACTCAATGCCTCGTAGGATTAGAGCTACACTTTCTCCAGAATTTTAGGATATAGGTTTTACCAACATGTTCTCCTCTTCCTGGAGTTTTCTTAAGTGTCAATCCGTTGTTGGGAAGCCAGACCTAGCTTGGTTTCAAGGATTCTGGGACAGCCCTGCTGCCTCAAACAGAAAATCTCACCCTCTTTCTGAAAATTCCAGGCCAGGAGAGACCATATCAGGTGCTTTCGCAGCTTCCTCTGTCCCTTGCCATACCCCATGCTTGAGCACATCCACTAATTAGCTCCCTCCACCTTCCCCTGTGGGGAATCACCCACCAGCTGTGTAACTCTCCTCCTGGGTTGATAAAGGATTTCCCCTCTCCAGCTGGCTCCATGAATCCTCTGCCCTGTCTCACGGGAAACCTGCTGTTAATCCCTCATCTCAGGCAGGGGTGGGGCCGGTGATGTGGAGCTCAAAGCTTATTCAATTCCACGGGCCTTCTTTAAGAACTGGAGTAGGAAAATGTAAATTCAAAATTAGGCACAGACACGAATACGTATTTAGAATGTGAAAAGAAGCCACAATCATAAATTTTAAAAAGCTGACTGATACTACAAGCATCACAAAAGCCATTTAAAAAACCCTATATTTTTATTATTTAATTACCTGAAACACCTTTATAACATATTCCCCCAATTTTTTGGCTGCCTGCTCTTTGATTACTTCTTCATATGACAGCAACTCTGTAATAGCTTTTTCTATAGAGAGACGAGCAAGATAATTCAGTCTTTCCTCTACCACAGATCATCAGCGTTTGTTTCTCATTGCTGATAGTTGGGTTGACTGAAAGATGTCAGCTTCACACACGCACAGACTTGCTGTTTGGGTCCTACAAACATAAGATTTCTGGTAAATTCTATTTCACACAATTCCCATCAAAAAAGAAAAAAATACATGAGGCGAGTTTATAGTTGTAGATGTTGCTTTACTGAGTGTATTCTTGACACAAGAGAGCTTCCAAGTTTGATTTGGCATCGATAAGATTCAAATCCTCTGCTTCAGTTTTATCATCTGATGATTATAATTTTCCTAGACTAGCTCTTGCTCCAAACATTTCCAAGCTTATTTCTTCCACACTATCCAGATCCTTTCTTACCCATCACTGGAGAACTCGTTCATATCTCGATGTGACCTCTGGCCCTGCATCTTGGTGCTATGATGCTGGGCAAGTCAGCGCCCACAATGGTAGGTATGCTCCTGAAAACCATTCCTACATGGAATGACTATTCATAGAAATAACTGAAAACCATATTAATATATCCCATTAGACCTCAACTAAATATACCCCCAACACAAATTCCTCTTAGCTGGATTCCCAAAAGGACCAAGGACATTCTGGGGCCACTTGATCTATGGGCAAGTAGGGTGAAGGGGAAGTTGGAATAAAAAGATTCACCAAGCTTAACTAATTTCAGCTAAAACATCTCTTTTCCCCTAATTTTACCAAGCATGTGATCATACGAATGCATTGTCAGTGTACTTTGTAAGCTCTTGGAAAGGAGCCTTTGGGAGTGAGGGACCCTCAAGCTTCACCTTCACAGGATTTCTGCCTCTCTCTGTCCATGGGGTCTGCTAGTGCAGAGTTCCTTATCTTGCCTTCCAGAGAGCACCTTATCCTACTCTCACCAAACTCGTAGCGCTGAATTGCATCTCTGCCTCCTTGGGTTCATTCCTTCTGTCTCTTCTCATGGATTATTTCTCCCATCATCTCTAGGATCCTTTCTCTCTCTCTAATGATCCAGATCATTCAGAAGCATCACTCCAATCTTCCACCTTCTCCTGAAGTAGATGTCCACTGCTTCATCTCCACAGCATCTATGGTTGATGAATGTCTCAGGCAGCATGACAAACAGCACAGACCCTGCCTGCTAGTCATTGAAATGCTCCTCCAGGGCTTTATCTCTTATGGGCCTGGCTGGAACCCTCTGGTTTAGACCCAGGAAAGTGTTGCAGCACATGCCATTTGGGTTTCTGGAAATGTCGCTTTAAGCTTCCCTCTCCCTCTCTGTTAATTGTAGCCCATCTATGAGGCTATTCAGCAAAAAGCACTAACTTTCCCCCATAGTCCTTCCCAGCCTTCTTAACAGGCAATGAGAGCAGAGAGATCTTTGAGTAGAATATTCTAAACCTTACTCTTATTCCTGCTTTTTTGTCTTCAGAGATCATTTCTTTCCTGCTGGATTTTCCTATCTGCAGACTCACTCTGGTCCTACCAAGCTCTTCAAAACTTCGCTCATTCTAGGAGACAGTAAGTAGAGCAGAGTGCAAAGAGCATAACTCAGGAGACAGACCTGAGAAATCCAGGCTCTCGTTGATTGGCTGTGTGTTCTTGGATAAGTTGTTTAGCATCTGTGAGCATCAGGTTCCTTATCAATATCACAGAAATAATAACAGCTGTGAGAATTGCACGTGATGCATGCAAAGTTCATAAAACAGTACCTGGTGGTTAGTAGTTGATCATGAAATGGTGATGATGCTAAAATCTCAGTGTTCCTTGCGGGTGATGCTGTTCTCATGTTGCTCTGTTTCCTAGGTAATTTTTGGAGGTGGGATCCCATACCCCAGTGTTGGCCACTCCATCCTTACTTTCATTTCTGTGAAGAACGTAGAATACTTCTCTGGTCCTGTGCGTGTAAAGACACTGACAATATCTGTAAACTGGAATCGAAAAAAGTTTTGGAGTGTGGTGGGCAGGCAGAGTCCTGCCAGTTCAGTCAACAAGTTCTGAAGAGTCTGATTACGAGGAATAAATATTCACTTCCCTTAGTTTTAGAAGTTGATATTATTGTGAACGGGCCCACAGCAAAACATCAGCATTGTCTGCTGGGTGAGATGGAATGTTCTTCACATCTTGTTTCACGGGAAATGTTCTGAGGATTCAGACGCAGACGAGCATGGAGCCAGCACGCACTTATTTACATGGATCTCAGTGAACCTGGTTTTTTCCTTCTCAAATTCACATTATGTGCAGATAAGATGCTAAAATGATTCTTCCAAAGTAATTTCTTTCCTTTTTGATGCTATTCATATTATCTGCCTTTGCAACAAACAAACATTCTCTCACTATGTTGTTTAATTTTTGCCCTCATTGCCAAAGGTCCCCTTCACTGTGCTCCCTCCGGCTCATGCACTCTGTGCCCCGGCTCACTGGGGTGCTTCTCCCTCTCCTGTGGGCTTTTCAGCGGTTCTCTCTGTGTTCTCCTCCCACCCTCACTTCTTGCCCAGGTTCTGCAAAAAGCACATGGGGCGCAGCAATGGTGGACACAACTGAAGGACCAGGAAGCTGGCTATGCCCAGAATCAGATGTCAGAGCTTGAGGTTTGCAAAATTTTACTGAAATCTAACATACATACAGAAAAATGCATAAACCATCCGTCCTGAGCTCAGTGAATTTTCACAGCATGAGCACACTCGTGTAACCAGCACCCACACCAAGAAATGGAACATTACAGCATTAGAATCCCAGATCCTCCTCTCCCATGGCCCCTTCTGGTCATTATGCCCTTCTCCCAAGGGTAACCACTCTCCTGACTTCCAGATGTAATTTTGCCTAATATTGAGCTTGACATTAACCGAATCATAGAATGTGTACTTTGAAGCGTCTTGCTTCTTCCCTTGTGTTAGTGAGATTTATCCATGTTACTGCTTCTTTTTGCTGCCGTATGCTCTGATGTTGTGGGAATATACTAGCGGTTGTTTATCCATTCAGCAGGAAATGGATATTTGGGGTTTTTCTGTTTGGGGCTATGAACATTCTATTATATGTCTTTTGGTGAATACATGGACACATTTTTGTTGGATACATGCTTATGAGCAGTGCTGTTTTCTCCTATGGTAAACTTCCTGGCTTCTGATGAGGCTGTTTTGATAACCAGGAATATTTTGAGGTGATCTGAAAAATCTTGGTAATCGAGTGACTTGTGGGACTACAGTTTTCTTTGGTTTTGTGCTGTGAAGGGAACTGAGTCCTCCAAAAATTCATACATTGAAGCCCTAGCCCCAGTGTGATTATATTTGAAGATAAAGCTTTTAGGAGGTAATTAAGGTTAAATGAGGTCATTCGGGTTGGGACCAAAAACAATAGGACTGGTGTCCTTACAAGAAGAGGAAAGGAGAGAGTTCTCTCTCTCTGTCTCCACACGTACACCCAGGGGAGGCCATGGGAACGCTCAGCGAGAAGGTGGCCATCTACCAACGAGGAGAGCTCTCACCAGAAACTGACCCAGCTGGACCTTGATCTGGGATGTCCAGCTCTCAAAACTGTGAGAAGATAAATTTCTCCTGTTTAAGCCACTCAGCCTGTGATATTCTGTCATAGCAGCCCGAGCTGACTGAGACATTTTGTTCTTTTGGGTTTTTTGAAGTTGGAAAAGTATCATTTTAACATTGCTAGTAATTTTCTGTTATTTGTGGAGCATGTTTCCTTTGGGGAAAATAACCAGAACGGGCCCCTTGGTCACGCAGATGTGAAGCAATCACCTGCCTCTTGTTTGGGGAAACCCTGACGTCACGGCCGTTGCCTTCGGTGCAGATGTTCCATGTGAGTTGCGCGTTCTGTGCTGTCCTAGCAGGGCTGCATCTTTGCAGGCGTGAGAGACGTTTGTCTGTCTTCCCTCTAACTGTTTTTTCAGTTTCTTTGAGATGTCATTGACATTGATGCTGGATAATTTTAAGGCGCACATTATAATAATTTGACCTACATATATTATGAAATGATTATCACAAGTTTAGTTAACATCCATCCTCTCATATAGATAGAAAAAAAAGAAAAAGAAAAACATGTTTTTTTCCTTGTGATGAGAACTCTTGGGATCTACTCTCTTAACGACTTGCAAATAGTCTTCCCTCTAAACTTGAATTTAGAGTGGCCTGGCCCCAAAAATTGCCTGCTCGTGGGGGATGGGCGAACGTCTTTGTTCAAAGTAGCTCAGAAAGGACCAGCCACACTGAATGCCTTCTCTGTGCCCTCACTCTGCACCATGCACTGTGCTAAAAACTTTACATGGATTGTCGCATTTAATTAGCTCAAAAACCCTTTAAGGTGGGTACCGTTATTGTCCTCATTTTATAGATGAGGAAACTAAGGCTTGGTGAAACTAAACAATTTGTTCAAGATCATATAACTAGCAAGCTGCAGTGCTCAGAGTCAAGCTCTGTCTGATGGCGGTTTCAGACTCTGAAACCACTGTCACACATTCACACGCACTCACACACATGCACAAGAGAGAAAATTAGTATTCTCTTTACTGATGCTGGAGAAAAGATCCTAAAAATGAGTGGGACTAGGTTGGGACGTTGCAATTGGATAAGTCTGTTGGTGGCCCAAATGGTGTGCCAAGCCATTCTCTCCTTTCTCTTCCCTGCTCCATGCTTGGGATGCCGACCCCTGTGGACTGCATCCCTTGGGCCCCTTGCTGACTGGCTGCCAGGTGGATTTGGTACAGGGAGACAGCGGCAGGGCATCAGAGAGGGGATCAAGGTATCAAGGGGGCAAATGGATAACCCCCTCCATGCCTTCTGTTCCTGCCAGTTGGCCCCATCTCTACCTTCAGCTTGCACCCAGCTCTGGTAACTCTATTTCCTCCTTGTCTCTCTGGCCTTAGTGGAGGTAATGTCTTCCAATGTCGCTAGTCTCTGGATATCTTTGTTTTCTGGTTTGTTGCCTTAATCTTGCCTATACATCTGTGAATAGTTCTTCACAAAATCTCTTTATTCAAACCACCTGAGATGAATTCTGTGCCTTCCCAGAACGCTGAATGATAAGCTGAGTGGTTTTAATTAAGACCAAACAAGAAACGTACTGTCAACAATTGTGATTGCCTTCTTTGGGCCCTGGGGGCAAGATCATCTTCACTCATCTTTGGGCTTCAGATGATGGGATCCTGAACTCCCTCTTCTCTGGAGCCAGGGAAAGTTTGCTCTGAGAAATAGGGCAAGAGCGCCATTGGTGGGCAGTTGTCTGGCCCCTGCAACATGGTGACAGGTAGAGGGAAATATTAAGGATAGAAAAAGCCAACAGGAAATTCCCTGTGGAGGCTCATGACCAATGGACCCAAACCACATCAAGTTCAGATTGGTTAACAGTGATCCAAAGATTGGGAAAAGTTACCTCGTTTCTTATAACAACCAGTTTATCAGGAGTTCATTATTTCTGCCCCCCCCCCCCAAAAAAACCTCCCAAATCCGAACACAACAATAATGAAAAAGATACTAAAAGCTTAAGGTTTAGCCAAAAGAAAAGGTCGCATTTAGCTTTGGGGTTTGGGACACCAGTGTAGCAGTCTATTAAAATTTTGATTCACAGTTGTCATCATGTGATTGCAGGAGAGTAAGTGGAATTCTGCCCAAATGCATCCTCTGCAGTAGCCAGGTTATTTTTCAGTCTGTCCTACCTCTTTTCCTTTTGGAACTCTTGTTTCCTGCTTTCCATAAGATCTGTGGGTTCTGTCAATTGAGGGTTCTCGCTGCCTTTGCCATGGGGACAGGCACACAACCCAGTCTGACTGATTAGATTATTCTGGAACCAGTGAGTTGTCCAGGGGCTGACTCAAGGCAAATCAGGATCCTTTATTGATGCAACTATTGACAGAGGAGCTTTAAGGGCAGAATAAGCTCACAGCTGCCTGCGGCCATTTGCTGTCACAAGGAGAAAGACTTTCAGACAATAAAGCTAAACAGAGAGAGATGGACAGACACAGTGTGCCCTTCTCCTTGTTCTGGCCCCTGAATCCAGCAATGCCTGTAGGGCACCCTTGGGCTTTCAATAATATGAGCAATGATTTCATCTTTTAAGAAGGAGCTAGATGTTGCATTTCTGTCACTGTACAGTGAAAAAGTTTTGACTAATTCTCCTATCCTCAAGAATAACTAATTCCAGTCAATACAAGGGAGCATGTTGTTTTTTTTCTTTAAAGCTTTAAAGAAGAGAATTCTTGCTCTTTCACCTGTTTCAGAAGCGAAAGTCCTCCTTGTATTGATCCTTCTAAATCCATCCTGTGGCAGTTTAAGTCAGCTTCCTTTGTTCTCTTCTCACAGGTTGTACAAAGTAGCTGGTTCCCATCTTCTGCAGAGTAATCTTTGTATCATTTAGGCAAGTAATGGGGTACCCTGAAGCCAGTTTCCTCCAGGCTAAGAAATTTGAGGCACTTAAGTCTATCTCAAAGGTTTTTTTTCCAGCACGTTTCTCTCTGAATTGCAGAATTTTGAATCTTTTCATTTGATCTGGAGAGGTGGAGGGAGGTTCCAGAAACTAGTAGAGAAGGTCTTTATTGAAAAAACTTTACTCCAATGATAAAGAATTCTATTACTGTAATTTCAATACTAAATAAATGTTTCAGAAAATAAGGTAGGTACAAAAGATTCACGCAGAAAAAAATGTAAATATATATATCTATAAACCGCTTTTTGGTTCAGTTTCAAAGCAGATGGCAAATTTCTGAGGATGCACTTAGTGGCTGGGTTTTGCCATCTCGTCGATGTGTTGTCAAGGTGAAGGAGGGGCCGGAGCCTTTGATGTCTGCGAGGTGGGGCTTTCTAGGTCTTTCTTCATGCTCAAAAGAAGAGTATTGGTTACTCCCAGTCTCTTTGGAAATAAGCTTTTAGGGAATCAGGCCAAAAGGACTAGAACTTGGGGGAGTGTGTTTCATGCCAGGAAGCCTTAATTAAAGAGTGGGAGGTATAGATTATCTTGAAGAAAGACCTCTGGTAAAGATCTATTTTTAACCTTAATGAATATGCTATTAATTAAAAAGTCTTCCGGATAAGACACAAAGACTTACCAAAAGATTATTGCCTGCTATGTTTAACCTGGGAACATGACACAAAATGCTTTAAACAGGAAACTTATTACATTGAAAGAGAACTTTCTCTTGGTAAAATCATGTTCAGAATAATGAACTGTCAATTTGCTTTAATTACTTTTAAACATATAAACATTTTCAAACACCAAGATAACACTGTGCCCCAGGAAATCTCGGGGTGCAGGGGGCTTGGGGTTCCTGAGATGAGCTGTTATTTCTGATATCCAGCAACAGTTTTGCAGACATGTCCCCAAATAAACTATTTAACAAAACTCAACTCTCTCTTCTCCTCATGTTCTTCTCTTTATCTAACTTCTAAATATAATTCAATCATAGGTTTGAGCAATTTAATTAATTAAATTACCAACGCTTGCCTAAAGAACAGTGTCTATTCTTGGTGAGCTAAATTATTTTGAAGCAAATTAAACATTTAGAAAAGTGGTTTGCATCCCTCACGGCACATTAGCATTACCGGGGGAGCTTAAAAAAAATACTAACATCCTGGTTCCACCCCCAGAGGTTGTGTTTTAATGGGAATGGGAGGGGAGGCAGCCGCTCTGAGATTTTAGCTTGCAGTCAAAGGTAGGATTCACCGACTTAGCGACTGAAAGAAATCACACTGCCAGTTCAAGTGCAAGTCACCAGAAAGCAGGATGGCTTCGCAGGAAGAGCACAGGATGCAGAGTGAGGGGTTGTCATCTCACCTGTACTTTGTCCCCTGTTTGGACTTGATCATGTACTTGGCCTCTTCCTCTCTGTGCAGCATTTCCTCGCTGGTAAAATTGGGATAATTATGCCCAGTTTGCAGAGTTGTTTTGAGGAAAAGAAACACCTTGTACATGAGGGAACCTCTGTAGCAAGAGCTGTTATTAATGTCGTGTGTAACTCTGCCTGGAAAAAATATTTTCTTTCTTATTTGCCTCCCCTCTGCGAATAGGAGTCCAAATCCACATTGTTTCTGGGAACCGTGAATTCTCTGGACTTGCATGGATGGTCCTAAAGGCTATATTGAGGTTGCAGAGTCTTAGGGTTTAGAAAACCAGCACCTGTGACTTCAAAGCTGAAGCAGCGTGGGTCAGTGAAATGAGTTTGAAGGTGAGTCCAGCTTTTTCATGAATTGAGTTACTACCTCTGTTACTATGGACACGTTACCACCTAGCTCTGGGCCCCTCCGCTTCTTAGTTGGTAAAATCAGATTAGACTAGAGGATCTCTCAATTTTCTCCCAGTAACATGAGTCTGTGAGCTTTAAAGATGCTACAAGATCCAAACTAGAGAAGCCTGCAACATTTTTACCTGTCTGGAGGAAAAAATACTGCCCAACCAGCTTCTGCAGTGGGAAGGACCCAAGAAGAGAGTGGATTTTCTTATTCTGGAAAGCTGGTCCTTTTGCAATTAATAGTGGAAAGGAGTTCCATCCTGACTTTTGGCTTGGGGACAGAGTGCGTGAGTCTCCCGGTCAGTCTTGATGGAGAGTAAGGTCTCAGGATTGACATTAAGGTCAAAAGGAGAGCACATCAGAGCTTCCAGGGAGTCTGAGCTCTATGGTTGCCAGGAAAGGGTCTTTTATTGAGTTCACGGAAGAAATGCAATGAAATCGCCCATGTAAGATTTAGGCTGAAATCGCCAGTGCTACCAGGACACTTAGAAGCTCTCCGGGTGAATGGTTTTCAAACTGAGCCTGCATCAGAATCTCCTGGAGGGCTTGTTTAAGCTCAGGTTCCTGGACCCCAGTCCCAGAGTTTCTGATGCAGCAGGTCCAGGATGGAGCCTGAGACTTTGCATTTCTAACAAGATCCCAGGTGATGCAGGTGATGCTGGTCCCAATCTCATACTTGTAGAACCACCGCTTTAAGTCTTACTTCACAAACTCTTGTGTTGCTAAGAATCCCCTGGAGCACTTGCTTAAAAGACAAATTCCTAGATCCCTCCAGTGGGAATACTGATTTAGTAGATTTGCGATGAGGCCCAGGCTGTTCTCGTCATCAGGGAATCTGAAAAAACCCTGACTGGGTCTACTACCATTCCTTGAAACAGAATCACCTGGGAGGTAGTTTTAACAAACACTGCTCCCTGGGACTTCCTCCCACTCTTCAGACTCTGATTCTGAAGAGTGGGCCTGGGAGACTCTGCATTTTAAAAATTTCTCAGGTGACTCTGATGTGTGGCTAAGTTGCCTCATCTTGTAGGTGAGGACACGAGGGAGGTTAAGGCATTGCTCTAGGGTAAGTGGTAGAAGCAATGATAGAAGCTGCATGGCTGGACTCCCTGTGCTTGGTCTACACTGCCACATTTCTTCTTGTCTGGTCAATCAGAGGCTAGGGCTATTTCCTCTGCCATTGACCTTCAAGTGGAGAAGCCCAATGAGTTGGATATTCAGCTAAGTTCTGACACTGATTTTTTGACCCAACTGAGTGTCTTCCACTTCAGTTTAATTCTGACACTAAATCCTGGAATTAGCATCAGATCTCACACGTTGAAAGGCAGGGTCCCCAACAAGAATGCTCTTACTTCAGATGCCAGTCACAGGTGGGGTCCCCAGGCTACCTACACTTCTGTCTGACTTGGCTACAGGTTCAGAGCTTCCCACAACCCCTTCAGGTTTGCTAACTCACTAGAGGGACTCACAGAAACCAGGAAAGTGCTGTGCAGTCGTGTGTTCCTCAACGACAGGGATGCGTTCTGAGAAACGCATCCTTAGATGACTGTGTCATCATGTGAACATCATAGAGTGTACTTACACAAACCTACATGGTATAGCCTACTACATACCTAGTCTATATGGTAGTCATCTTGTGGGACCACTGTCATATATGTGGTCCATTGTTGATTGAAATGTTGTTAATGCAGCATAGGACTGTACTTCCAATCACTATTTTATTACGAAGAATACAAATGAACAGACAGATGAAGAGATACATAGGGCAAGACCTGAAAGGGTCCCCAAAGCAGGAGCTTCTGTCCCTGTGCAGTTGGGGTGCACCACCCTCCTGGAACATTGATATGTTCACTAACCAGGAAGCCCCCCCCTGAGCTTTGGTGTGCAGAGTTTTTATTAGGGTTTTGTTACATTCACGTGTTTGATTAAATCATTGGCCATGAGAAGGAACTCAATCTCCAGTCCCTCTCCCACCCGTGGAGGTTAGGGGGTGGGGCTGAAAGTTCTAACTCTCTAATCACATGCCGGATCTTTCTAGTGTAGTTAGCTCCTTCTTGAAACCAGTCAAGGGCCCACCATAAGTCACCTTGCTAGCATAAACTCAGGTATGGTTGAAAGGGGCTCAGGGACAAAGCTAGATTATATGTCAGGAACTGGGGACAAAGACCAGATATATTTTTTACTATATCACATGCACCCACAGCCTCCCAAACTAGGCTTCCCTTATAAACAAACATAGTTCCCTAGATTCTCATCTTCCACTCCCACACCATCTACAGGGAGTAGAGCAATTCAGCAGATTCAAATGCAGACTGCACAACTGCTCAGCTCATTAAAAAGACATTCTCCTTGCCTTCGTAGAAATAGCTCCAGGTTCCAATTCTGCTGAGACCCCAAGCAATGTGTTTTCTCTCCCGATGTGTGTAGGCGATGTGGCTTCCAGAAGGCCAGGTCCCAGCTGTAACTTTCGCATTCTGAATAATGCAGTTCAATGAGACACACGTCTCAGTTAACAACACTTAACTTTTGTTTATTGCATTGCGACTTTCAAAATACTCTTACTTTTCTAATTTAGGCTCCACAGTAGACAACTATGTAAGGTAGGAGGAGAAGGATAATGAATAATATTATTTATTCAACAAACATTGAATGCTTCCCATGGATGTGTCTAGCACTATTCTAGCCACCAAGGAATAGAGAGGAATGAAATGTGGTCCCTGCTCTCATCAGATGGGGAACCATTTTTCAGATAAATGGAGTGACTTGCTCAAAGCCATGTGGGTCTTCTGACTTTCTTCTCATTACTTTTTCTACTATAGGGTGCAGGGAGCAGGAGCTTTCCTTAGGAGGGTCCCAGGTCATGTCAAGAGGACCTGCCAAGGACATAGTAAGTGCTTCTCTGGGATGCACAGGCCCAAGGTGGCCTTGCACCTGGTATTCGTTTCCTGTGGCTGCTGTAACAAATAACTACAAACTTGGGGTTTAAAACAACAGAAATTTGTCTTCTCACAGTTCTGGAAACCAGAAGTCTGAAATCAGTATCACTGTGTGAAATCAAGGTTTCAGCAGGGCTGTGCTTTCTCCAGAGGCTCTAGGGGCTAATCTGTTCTTTGTCTCTTCCATCTTGTAGTGGCTGCTGGCATTCCTTGGCTTGTAGCCACATCGCTCCAATCTCTGGGGCCAACATCTGTGAATTACTCCCTGCTCCATCTTCAGACCACCTTTTCCTGTGTGTGTGTGTGTGCATGCGTGTGCATGTGTGTGCACGTGTGTGTGAAATTTCCCTCTGCCTCTCTCTTACAAGGACATTTATGATGGCATTTAGGGCCCACCTGGATAAACCAGGATAATCTCATCTCAAGATCCTTAATCACATCTGCAAAGACCATTTTTCCAAAAAAGGTAACAATTATAAGTTCTAGGAGTAGATGAGGGGCCATTATTCAGCCTAGTACTCACCTGTGAACCAAAGTACTGTTTGAGCAGAGGCCATCAATGTTTGTCTTTAATCTACAAAGGAGCCCCTCTCCCCGTCCCCCATGGCCAGAACTCTGGACGTTGAAGAGTGCGTGGAGAATCAGCCCTGAGCAGGAAGGGCCTTTCCCAGATTCCTTGCACAGAGCTAATAGCTGTGGAAGGATCTGGCCCCCTACTTTCCAGTCTAAGGTTCTTTTTGCCAAAAAGTTTTCCACTGAGATCAGGTTTGGGCACTCTGCACATCCAGGGCCCCTACCCTCTGCTCCCACTCCCCTCCTGGGCCTCTCTCCAAAGGCCTATCTTGACTCACTGTCTCCTGGGTTACTGTTGCCGCAAGAGGGGGCGTAGGAGGCAGGGCAGGAGGTTCCAGCCTGGTCTGGTGACTGGACGGGGACACAGAAGGAGCTGAGGATGATCCTTGGTTCTGTCCCAGAGATACCACAGGCAACTACTCCTTCCCCACTCCACCTTCAAGTAGAACTGCAGCAGAACTTCCCAGGGGATGGGTCTCAGTGCTGTGGACAGATGCTGATGAGCAGCCAGAGCGAAGGCATTGCCCCCTCTCATTAGGGCTGGGCTCCAAGGTTGGGCTCTGTGAATGCAGAAGCAGAGGAGCCTTTGAAGTGGAAATTAAGCACTGCTGAAGGGTCTTGGATCCTTAAAAGGAGATTTCTTCCTAGTGACTGATTAGATGGAAATTCTGGAAGTTTCATGTCATACCACAGTATAAAAGCAAAATACTAGTGGGCTTGCCTAAAAGGATAAACAGAGCTGAAGGAAACCTCACCTTCCCCAAATTAGCTCCTCGTGCCAAGATGTCCACTAACAGCCTACCTTGCTGTCACCCAGCTGCAAGCCTGGGATCTCTTTCATTTTCCTTTCTTCCTGATATCTATTGGGTTGTCCATTCTTGGAGACTTGATCTCTGCAATTCATCTCACATCAGCCCTTTTTCATCTTCACTGCCCTATTTCTGGCCCTCATTGACTTTGCCCCTCTTTATTTTAATTACAAAAACAACACAGCTTGTTTCAGCAGGGGCCAACAGGAATGCAAGGAATGCAAGAAATGCAGCTCTAGAAGCTGGAAGACAAGGAAATGAATTCTCCTCTAGAGCCATCTTGATTTTGGCCCAGTGAAGCCGATTTTGGACTTCTGATCTCCAGAACTGTAAGAGAGTAAATGTCTGTTGTTTTAAGCCATGAAATTTGTTGCAGCAGCCATAGGAAACTAATACAGATGGTTTCTTACTGTTTGAATTTATAAATATTTTATTTCCTCCTACCTCTAGACAGGAGCTCTTGATTCCAATCTTCCCTGGCTTCAGTCTGTTCATATGGCCACTCCTCTGCTCCAGGGCATTTAATGACTCCCCACTTCTGAAAAATGATGTCTAAATTCTTTAGCTAGAAGGCCCTCCCTACACCAGCCCTAACCCACTTTTTTAGCCTTAAAATGGACTATTCTGTGACCACCCCCACCCTCAACACTTCCTACATTCGTTACTTGGCTCACGAGTTTTTCAATACATGAAATGCCTTCCTGAGCCCATCTTTGAAGATGGTACTTTAAACTCCAGCTCAAATGGGATCTCTCCCAATAAGGCCCCTCTGTCCTCAGCCCACCCTCAACAAGATGTGATCTTTGCATTCTTCAGATATGCATAACACTTGACCTCTCTCTTCCAGCGAATATCAATTCTACCTTGTATTTAAGTTATATATTTAAATATAAAGTGCCTAGCATGTAAATAATTTGCTGAATTACTTGCTGATCAAATATGTATTGAACTGAATTGAAATGTGAACCATGCCGTAGAACTAGGCTTACTTCCTGTTTGTGTTATAATTTGATACCCATGATGAGATGGAAACACCATTGATTTTAATAACAAAAGATGGACATAGGAAAGGAGGGCAGAGCAAACTAACTGGGCTTAAATAAGTTTCCAGTTTTTCAAATCTCATCCCTGTGTTGTGCCTTTAGAGATTTGAGAATAAATATCATGGTGATTCATGAGAAAAGAATTTGAGAATATTCACTGACCCCAAATTCAATAAAGATTCCCTACTATGATTCCATCATTGAAAATGCTAATACCGTCCCAGGCTGCATCTACAGGAGTGCAAGTCCAGAACAAAGAGAGGATTGTCTCATGTTTCTTTCAGATGCATCTTCTGTGGGAGGTTTGGTCAATGTGATCATTGTTTCCAGGATCTGGTACAGCACCCAAATGACCTGGAAAGCTGTTAAAAAATACAGATTTGTGGATCCCACCTCCAAGAAATTCTGAATGAACAGATCAGGGAGAGCCTAGGGGTCTATATTTTAACCAGCACAAATGGTTTGAGGCTCACTGGTCTAAAATAATCCTTACGGTTGTTTCCAATTCTGGAATTCTATTATTCGGAGTATTGTGTCCAATTTCTGGTTCCATTGTCTCAAGCTTCCTCCTTACTGTCTCTGCTGGTTCTCACCATAGGCAGTCCCAAGCTTTGGTCTTCTGACGCTCTACCTATGGGAAAGGGAGTACCTATAAATTGGCCAACAGGTAAGGTTTGGAGTTTTAGCTAACTGGTTATTTTAGAGTTAGTCACTTAATATACCAAGCCTCAATTTCCCCATCAGTAATGAGGGCTATAACTCACATGTCCGAGACACTCACTTTATTTCCCAGAGATGACTGAAATGGACATAGGATATTATCACAGCAGAGGAGCCACCAAAGACAAAAATATGCAAGTGTTTTTATCAGGTGGTCTTGAGTATGTGAAGGTGAGAAGATCCCAGGTGGCAGTGGCACGCATAGAACTGGCATCTTGTCAATCTGATCCTGTATTCTAGAAGGAAACCTGCATGATTAAAAGAAATCTTGTCGCTCATAACCTTTTCCTCCCCTCAGAGGCAGAAGTAGTGTTAGCTGTTCCCACTGCCTGGGGGTGGAAAAAAGTGGTAGATGGAAGCCACGGCTGGGGAGCAAGATGGGCTTCTTGCTCTGTCCATTCCATATCAGAGATTTACTGCTGCCTCCTAAATAAACAAAGCCATCGGGGCTTTAAAAGCCCAGACCAGACAAATGACCAAGAGGAAGGAGTCATTTTTCAGCCTTAACACTATTTGTTTATTGTGTGTCCACTGTCATTAGCCCCTAAGAGTGAAAGCAGACTGGTCCATTTCATTTTCCTATTATCTAGTTTATGACATCATTAAAATTAATTGAGCGCTCATCTCAACACAGAACAAGCAGGCCATGTGGAGGAGGCAGTGTTCCTGGAAATATACCGGCGGAGGATCTGAGTGTGTTCTCCCTGTCAGGATGGTGCAGCCTGGACCCTTATCCCACGCAGGTCACGGAACCTTAGCTAGGACAGTTGTGCATCATGGTGGTCACTCCATGTCCTCAGCCCTGTTGTTTCTCAGTAGAAGGTACCACAGGACTGAAGCAGTGCTTGGAGTCAGACAGGAGAGAGTAACACAATTTGCACAGTTGTTTCCTACGGATTAAAGAGCAAGTGGAGAGTTTCTGTTTAGGACGACGACAAAGTTTGGGAAATGATGACAAAGTTTTGGTAGTGGTGATAGTTGCACACTATTGTTGAGTGGATTTTTAATGCCACTGAATTGTACAAATAAAAATGGCTAAAATTTTATGGCTTAATTTTATATTATGTATATTTTACCACAGTCTTTTAAAAAAGGGAAGTGGATTGGCTTCTAGATAGACTAGTCCACTGGTAGAGAGGGAGGTAATCAACAAACACTTGCCACCTTATTCCCTTTTGATTTCAAATGGCACACTGAACAAGCGATCTTCTGTCCCTTCTGTAGGGTTGACTTACCTTGGAAGCAGTGACACATGCTGGCTCTTGTTACAGGAACCACACAGGCACTTATGCTCAATGTAATTCTGGGGCGTTTGAGAACAAATGGAACCCCTCCAAATCCTAATACTTATATATGTTTTGGCAAGGCTTGAACTCCTTTTGTGCTCCAAAAGATGGACCTAAGAGTTTGTCTCGGGGTGGACTCTCCTACTTTTCCTACGGGAATGATAAACGGTTCATCTCATTTAATGTAGGTACTCCATACAATTTTTTGAGTGCCACCTCCCCCTTTTTCTTTCACTTCCAGAACTGAGTACTTTAGCACAGAGCTGGAAGAGGTAAAGGCTTTTGGATTTCTGGCCCAGACACACTTCATTCTGCCCTTTTTGAGCCTATGGATGTCTTCACCGCCTGGAGTTCAGACTAATAGGATTGTAAGGTTGGAAGAGGCCAAAAGGTTCCCTTGTTATCTTCTGTACGATGCCTATCACATGGTCACAGTCGTTGGTCAGACACATCTGGTGTGGCTCATATCTTTGAGAAAGGTCACACCCTGTGACCATTACTCGTGTTATCTCCTCAGAGAGCCCCTCAAAGTTTCAAACGTAAACACATTTCTAAAGTATCTTCCAGAAATCCAGAGGCTTATAGTTCTGCTATGTCTGTGTTGCGTTCAGATTGGGTTATTTTAATATTCCAAGAAGACACTTTCAGGTTTAGAAATTTCAGTTCAATTCACATTTTCTACTTGTAATTTCTACCTGGAAATTACGTATGGAAGCTGAGTCACCTCCCTCGCTCCTGGAGCCTGAGGGCAGTTGCCAAGGCCTTCCTCATTATTCAAACCACCACACATTCACACGAATGCCAACAGCAACACTTGATGCATGTAGAAGATTTTCATGCTCACAGGTCATGAAATGCATCAGAATGCTTTCTCTGCATCCCGTACACTAAGGATTTATGGCTGTCTGCGTGCTGTATTTCTAGCCACTGTATTCTGAAGGGAAGCATCCTGCCCTGAGGTAAAGACAGCTTCTTTATTCATATTAGAAATGATAGCAAGTAAAGGGCAAGAATTTTTTTAAAAATCTCACTTCTGGTATGTTCAGAATGAACATCTTATTGAAATAATACCTTTTAAGTGCTTCCTTTTGCTGTTCATTTGGGAAGATATTCCACAGACTGTACAGACACCCTCAAATGTTGCCTGGTCCGAAATCTTTTATCTGTAGCTTTAGAAGAACAAAGGGTATGACATATGGAGAGGAGAAACCAGCGTGGGGAGGCATGGCTGGGGACAGGGACGGGAATGTAAATCACATAACCGATTCTTACCTCAAAACAGTTTTGGTTGGTTTCTACCTGTGGGGGGCTGTCCTTGGGTACAGGAGGGAGATTACATATGGGGTGATTAAGGGCATTGTAATTCATGATGTGATTCATTGATAGTAACGCAGAATTGCCAGCTTTGCAAATCCCACCCCTTGACCAAAGCCATACGTTTAAAAGGAATAAAGGAGGTGGGTTTTATTTTTACATAGCCATGGTTAGTGTGGATTGGACTGCGTCCCCTCCAAATTCACATGTGGGAGTCCTGACACCCAGGGTCTCAGAATGTGACTATTTGGAAATAGAGTCATTGCAAATGTAATTAGTTAAAATGAGGTCATACTGGAATAGAATGGGTCCCTAATCCGACATGACTTGTCTCCCTATAAAAAGGAGAAATTTGGACACAAAGACACATAGAGAAGGGAAAATGATGTGAAGACACAGGGAGAAGACAGCCATCTACGAAGGACATCAAGGATTGCCAGCACACCATCAGAAGCTAGGAGAGAAACATGCAAGAGATCCTTCCCTCTGCAAAAAACAAGACAACAGGCCCCAAATGGAGTCGCTGATGCTAAGCCCGTGTCACCAAACCAAGACTTAAGTTAATTACAGTATTAGCTCTCAAAGAAATGAAATCTTAAACCAGTCGATCAGGAATTGCCTGATCGGCCCTAGTTGGGTAATCTGCCTGATAGACCCCTACCGTCCCCTACAGGAAAGTAACCTTGCGATAACCAAGCCACTTGTTTGCCTAATGTAACTTCCTTGTTCCTGCTCCTTTCTGCCTGTAAGTCTTTCATTTTGTACATAGCTCCTCAGAGCGCCTTTCTATCTGCTAGATTGGATGCTGCCCAATTCATGAATCGTTGAGTCAATAAGATCTTTAAAAGGTACTCAGTTGAATTTTGTATTTTATGCCTCACAGTCCTCAGAAGGAACTAACCCCATTGACACCTTGATCTCGGACTTCTAGCCACCGGAACTTGGAGACACAAATTTCTGGTGTTGAAGCCACCTGGTTTGTGGCAGCCTGAGCTCACTAATGCAATGGTCACCCTAAGGGCGTCCAGTGCTTACATTGTTTTGCAGTCATAGAAGCTGTAATACCTTACAGTGCAATTTTATTTTCAAAGCATTTGTCATTAGAAATGTTTCTTAATATCTTGCCTTCTATCCTGTTCCTCTTATACTCACCTCATGTACACATGTAGATTTTTATAGAATTCAAGGTCTTTCTCTACTCCCAATTCCTAATGCTTGGGATTCCTATGCTCAGCCCTTGAAACTTCTCCAAAGACTTAAGAATCTTAGCATCTCAGTTCTGTCATCTTAAAATATCATATCGCAGGTTCCTTATTACATGTCCCACTTTTGACTTCCAATCTGCCCACCTTTCTACCCACCTTGAATTGCTCCTTGCACACCTCTGTCCTTTCTGAAAGTCTGAACGTCTCTGGGGTTATAACGGAAAGGTCGATGGGAACCTCCACAGCTTGCTGGATGTGGCCTCTTCACTTACATGGTGCCGGTTGTTGGAAGGGGTCTGGTGCAATTCTGTGGACTCTAGTGAGATGACAGGGCAATAGGCACCCCATACTTTTCTTGGTGCATATCACATTTGCTTTTGGGGCAGCCATAGGTTCTCTTTTGCTGGCCTATTTCCACATGTCACACTGCAAGTGTGATCTAAGTTTGGATGTTTTTGCATGTTGCACTCACAATCTGATCCTATCCACCTTTGAAGTATCATTTCCTTCCAGAATTATTTTGATGTTGAGCAAATTAAAAATTTTATATTTATAACTTTGTATTTCTATATTCATACATACGCACTAAGTTGGCAATTTTTAGGCTGATAGATTTGTTCCTGTGGTCAATCTAGTGAGCCATACTCTTTGAATACCATGGTTGGGGTTTTTGGACCAGCGTTTTCTGTGGTGAAGACATGGCTGATGCCTCTATTACCTGTAGGCAGCTGGGTCTCCTCATGACAGTCTTAGCTCAGTGTAACCTCAAACAGGATTGAGAGTCAGTTATCCTAAAAGCATGGAAAAGTTATTCAGATGTTTGTTCAAGTCTCTTGAAAGGGCATCAAAGAGTAAAACTCAGTACACTGAATGTCATATAGCAACACGCTGTAACGTTCTCTACCCGACAGTGCTTTTCTTCTCTTCTCCATCTCTCCTGCACAGCATGACAAATGGACAAACTGACAAAGAACAAATCCAGTCTGCCCCTCCCCTCCCAACAACTCACACCTGTGGATCCCTCTCCCAGCCCCTCCCCCTCAGGCTGACATTGTTATCATGCAGATTAGTTTAGTCTCTCCTGGATTTTTCCAGATGTCATTTTTCACTCCTATTTAAATCTATGGTCTTCAAACTTTTGACTGTTTATTGCATCCACAAAACCTAATAACCAGAAAGAGAAAGTTTCAAAATGTTTATGTACCATTGATGTATATATTTTGTCCATTAAAAATGTGCATAGAAGAAATTGTTAAAGTTTGAGACTAAGGTCATATTTATATCTCATACTATATATACATGTTTTAAAGCAGTTTATTGACAAGTTAACAAAACTTTGCCCTCACAAAGGAGCTTATGAATGGTAATTTTCAGTGGAATGGTATGATTGCAAATGCTTCATTATTTTAGAATACAGTGGCGTAATACTTGTGATACAGTAACTCTAATTCAGGTTATAGGTTCAGTTCTGTCTCTCTCCCTCCTTCGCTCTCTTTCTCTCTTTGATACTTGACTTTATTGCTTATTACAGCTGAAATAGTTCCCTTGCAAAGATGCGCAGAAACAGATGGACTATGTGCCCCTTTAGAGGCTCATTTTCATTCCACTCCACTGATTATGCAAAGGTTTTTGCTTAAATTCTGCTAGTGAATTTTATCTTCTCTGATGTCAATCAGTTGCTCTTCCTGACTAATCACAAAATATTTCATTTTCATACTTTTGACAAAAGGTTCAAAACTCACTAAAACTCTGAAGAAGTTTCAGCAGAGTTTTGATAGTTTCTTTAAGTATGCTGATATGAGGTTTTATAGGTGGCACAGAATTTTTTTCAGGTAAAAATTAGACTATATAGACATGGAAATGTTTCCAAATATCCACTTTCAATTTGTTCTTTTCATAACATGTAAGTCTTCAAAAAGCACTTTCTCACGGATTGACCAACTTCTTTTCACATCCAATAGGTCATCTCTGATTTTTAAAATACCCCATGATGTGAGCAGATGAAGACTCGCTGAGGAGTAGGAAAAATGTCAGCTCTTCCATTGCCTTGACGTTCTCTTGTGTTTGCATTATTATTATCTTTAGTTGACTCTTTGGGTTGTTTGACTTTTTTAGGTGAGTTTTCTGTGGTAAAGATATGGGCAATTCCTCGAAGGAATTGTTTTAAGCCACTTGTTTTTTTTGTGAGGACTAGTTTAATTAAATCTAGATAACATGATCCATAAGTCCACCTAACCAGTAACATGTCTACCGCAATATCTTTCAATAACCTGACAGCTCATGGCTAAATGAGAGGCTGTCATCATCCTCCTTGATCAAAGACTCCCCACTCTTTTCTTAAGACACTGGGAATGCTACAGGGGTGCCATGACTGTGTCTGGAACATGTAGACTAAGTGAGGGTGCCAATTCCAACATAGATGTTAGTATTAGTTAAGTTAAACATTTATTTTTTAGATAAAACTAAATATACATGAAAATTCCAACATTTTCCTCTGCACCCCTGTGGATCAACATCGGACACCCCATTTTGGAGATCACCGATCTGAATCAGCACCACAAAGTCACAGAATCCAGAGAAACTCAGAAACTGCCTTGTTGGGGGAGGGTGATTGGAAAGGCTATGACATCCTCTAATACTTTTTATTATATTTTGCTATATTGCTTACAATAGCTTTGGGAAACACAAGGGTCAGATGGATCACCAGTGTCCAGTCAAGAGAACTCACGGCAAGCCATCCAGCCACATCCAGGATTACTGGGACTATCTATGTTCATTACCTCGAATCGCTAAGTGAGTCTTTGTTCCGTTTTCATAAAGCTGTGCTGCCCTTGTGTTATGACTCCAGTGGGACTTCTAAAGATAAGCCAGAATATCCAACAACAAACAAGTTGCCAAATCTATCAGACTCATTTGTTAGGACTTTTTTATTAAGTTAAAGAAATACAGGGTTCAAAACTCATAAAGACTTTTGCAGGGCTCATAAAGTTAATGTTCACACTGTCTCTAAGGATTCCTTGACCATGATTAAGAAAAACAAACAAAAGAAAAATCTTCTTATTTCCCAGAGCCCTGGGAATATCACAATGGTGGTGAGGTTCCAACAATTTGGAAATGTTTATCACCCTTTATTTTTTCAACACACACACAAACACACACACCCCTACATTGGTTTGTTTCTGAGTGATATGCAAGGGAATAAAAAATCGTTTACTGGGGCCAGCCCTGTGGCCAAGTGCTTATGTTCACATGCTCTGATTTGGTGGCCCAGGGTTTCGCAGGTTTGGATCCTGGGCACAGACATGGCACGCCTCATCAAGCCATGCTGAGGCGGCGTTCCACATAGCACAACCAGAGGCACTCACAACTAGAATATACAGCTATGTACTGGGGGGGCTTTAGGGAGAAAAAGAAGAGAAGGAGGAGGAGATTGGCAACAGATGTTAGTTCAGGTACAAATCTTTGAAAAAAAAAAACACAAAAAAACCACTCAGAGTAGACCAAAAGTGTCCTTTTCACAATGTCTTAAAATGTACCAAGATTAAAAAAAAGAAATCATTTGCTAAACAAGTCCTAGTGTGAGCGTGTGGAGGTTATCAGTTTTAAACACTTCATGTAATATGAATTGCAAGTAAGAAGGCTCTCAACTAAAATGATTTTTTTAAAGTGATGCCATAGAAGAAAGTGTGGTCCCAGAATCTCCTGCATCAGTATCACCTGGTGAGACCTCTCCCCCAGGATTCTGATGTAACAGAGGAGTAACAGGCTTCCTTGGGTGATTGATATGGCCGCTGAAGTTTAAGAACCATTGATCTAGGCTGTGTATCTATAGAGATAAAGATGTCAACCCAAGTGTGTACACAGTACAGATCCGCTGCAGCAGAAACAATTACTTCTTTCTTCCAGATCCATTCACGGCTTCTATTCATGTCAAAATACCTCCTGAGAGTAGGCAGTTATCACAGCAATGAATCTGTTTCCTCAAGACTCTTGGCTGACACTACCCTGACCTGCCCCCACCTATGTCACATCCTATTAGGTTTTGTCGTGGAGGCATGGCACTTGTCACAGAGTGACACACATTGGGGCAGAAGCTTGATAGGGCAGGCTGAGCCAAAGCAAAAAGTAGAGATGAACCAAGATACAACTTTTCTAGAAAACTCTCTGAAACAAAATCAACTCTGTGAGACAAGACTTCGGGGAAAGCTTGGCTACTGATGGAGGTGAAGCCTGGTAGGTCCAGGGTGGGGATCCCAGAGGGATGGAGACAAAGATAGCTGGTTCTGAACCCAGGTTCTTTGACAAGCATTTCCAAGCATGTGTTCCGAAGAGCATTAATCCTACCAGTGCTCTGGGAACAAAGGGTCTCAGGGTTCAAACCCTTTCTTGGACATTCTAAATCTTTGTTTTTAACTTTCTATTTTGAAATAATTATAGACTCACAGGAAGCTGCAAGATAGTACACATAGTCCCGTGTATCCTTCACCCAACTTCCCCCATGGGGACATTTATGTAGCTGTCGTACAATATCAATCAGGAAATTGACACCGACACACTCCTAATAACTGGACAGCAGGCCAAGTTCAGTTTCCCCATTGTT